GTGCAGGTCACGGGTTCAACTCCAGGGAACTGTGCAGATACTGTACACAGGTAAGCTGAGGTCAAGGGATCGACCCCTGGGATCTGCATCGGCTACTGCCAAAGGTGAAAACTGTTTCAATAATAATAATAACAATAATAATAATGGGAAGAAGAAGAACAGAAGGGTGAGCCAATGCCATCCCCCCTCGCCTCTTGCCATCATCGTCTGCCCTCACAAAATTTCCCCCTCCCAATAATAAAGGAATGAAATTCAATGAATGGACAAGAATCCGTGTTGGAATGATCCCCCCTACGGCCAGCACTCAAAGAGATCTCCTTTACGCCTCTCTCTCGCACTCATCTCCTCATGGTTGCACAATTACCTATGGCGGTGGATCCATGCCTATCACGAATGTCCAAAGGACAACGCTCGGCTACCATGCCTCGCGCCGTCTCTCTCCGCCATAACCACACTCCCCGGTGAAGTCCATGTCTAACTGGTACCACAACAGGAGCATTCCGGAGGCAGCACCAAGCAAGCAAGTGGAAATGAGGTCCACCAGAGCCATTGGTAAGTGTCTCAAGGGCGGTTTCCTTCCTTCTTCCTCCTCTACTTCTACCCTTCTCGTCCACCTTCCTCCGCAGCCTAGCCTGAGGTTCTTCTGCCTCAGCCTCCATAGCCTAGGTCCTCTCCGTCCTACGACTGCTCATCCATAGCCATGGTCTTCTTCCCTCACCCTCGGCTCCTCCCCAATGTTTGGCCTCACCCTCCCTCAGTGCAGAGAAACCACATGACTGCTGGGTAAATGCCCGGGCTATATTGTGAATAGCCCACAGCAGGACTTGTAAAGCTGGAACATGTGCGCGTGGTAGTTCAACTTATTTGTGTGTTTTTTTTTCCCTGTGTGTGTGAGTGCTTGTCACCGTTGTTTTGTGGTTACAGAGGGCTGTATTTGAAAGCAAGGCCGTCATTGATGAGAACGGTGGCAAGCTTCTGAATGAAGACTCCGATCCTCGCTCGGTAAGTCACTGAGGAAATTCCCCTTTGGAAACAATACTTGTTCGAATTCGGACTGCCTTCTTCAGATTGGGGGAGAGAGAGAGAGAGAGAGAGAGAGAGAGAGAGAGAGAGAGAGAGAGAGAGAGAGAGAGAGAGAGAGAGAGAGAGAGAGAGAGANAGAGAGAGAGAGAGAGAGAGAGAGAGAGAGAGAGAGAGAGAGAGAGAGAGAGAGAGATTATGCATTTAGACCCCTCATAGTGCACTGATATTTCTTCTTTTTCTGTTGGTGCAGGCGTATCTGCATTGGCTGTACGTGTCTACGTTCTCCAAAGTCTTGTCAAATTATGGCACAGCAACATGCGGTTTTATTTTCCGAAATTTGTATTCATAAAGTTTTTTTCGGAGCCGTAACACACCAAATTGAATTTCCCAACGTGTGTTGGCTGTCGCCACACGCATACTTCTATTTTGTCTTGCATCTGAACAGGTCTTTGATTACCTCATGGACGACGTTGCAAGCTTCCTGGCAGATCATTATGTTCCTTGCCTTCTTGGAAATTATGATGCAATGCAGCAGGGTGATGACCAAGGCAAGTGATTTCTTTTTCTTTTTCTTTTTCTTTTTCTCTCTCTTTTTGGTTGATTTGAACAATATCTCGATTTATGCGTGTCATTCCTGCACAGGGGCCATGCCAATCTTCTCTGGTATCGGTCCAATTTTAACGGATGTCAGCAAGTGTTGTGAAGTTGTCAAACTTCAATTCACGTCCAAGTTCCAACGCGCATCTCGCATACACACTGAACTGAAGACAAAATCACCTAAATGATCAGAAAGTCACGATTGATAGGAAGCTTCACATCAAGCTTGTATTGAACTATGAAATGGTATATCCACTTGCACATCACGCTGCACTGAGAAGCCTACACCAAATGACACTCAAAAGTGCCGACTAGGACCAGAAGTTCAGAACACACTGGATATGGCTACGCACAGACTCTCTCTTTCAGGTGCCAAAAATAGCGCTGCTGCTTCTTCTCGTCACTACATGAAGCCAATGACTTGGAATTTGGAAACGAATGAATTCTGCTTCTATTATTTAATCAAATTGCTCGGGCTTACGGGGTCCCACCGGGCTCTGAAAGATTCTAGATTTCTAGTGGCCACCAGTAGTATTTCTACTTGTAGGTGCTAGGTTCAGATCTGGCTGGCAGCAGCTTGACACGCAACAACATAAAAAGTATTAAAAACTTTTACTTGCTACACACTTGGGCCAGGTCTCGGGTTCAAATCCCAGCGGAGCCCAACATGAAGGACCGAGGCAAGTGGTTGTCAATGACTGCTTAATACTAGTTAATAGTGATTATGACTTTTATGAAAAAAAACTAGTGATGGATGAAGCCTCTTGCAAAGTGATGCAACCATCAACACCATCTGGTATCGGACATCTCATCCTTAACTCGTTCCATTCGGTGTCAAACATCTCATCATTAACTTGCTGGTATGTCCTATTTTTCGACCTTTTTAAAGGGAAGGTCGAGATTGGGACTCGTCACAGAGCGAAAAAAAAGAAAAGAAAAGAAGAAAGACTGGCGCTTATTGCTTCTACTGCCCCAAGATCACCACTAATGGGAATGTTTAATGTATACTACTAGACCGAATATTTCTTGGCGTGCTGGAATGTTACACCTATTTTGCAAAATCAATCCTTCATTTTCTGAAAAGATCATGGATGAATGCCAATGGATGAATGCCAATGCTCCCTGCTGAAATCAGATTTCCACTAATTTTTCTAGTCATTTCTTCCCTTGGACCTCGTCCAACTTCGTTCAAGTGTCTGTGTGTCAGGGCATCTATGTATGACTCTATCACATTCATAATTTCTCTCTTTCCACCGGTAAAAAAAAAAAAAAAGCTTCCGATCGTGGCTGTTGAGCATTCGCCATGTGCGATTGCTCTTTGAGTGTATGCCATGGTAGGATGTTATGACGAGTCATCCATCCTCTATCAATCGGTGTTGCTTCCCCTTGTTGAGTTATGTGTCAAGTGCTATACGACAACTTCGACAAGTGGTATCAGAAAGCCAGAATGTCATGTGAAACAGTGAAAATATGTGAATAGTATATCCAGTCCGCGGGAGAATGAACCTCTGCCGGCAATGAGTTGGCCTTCATGCTGCACGCTGAGTGGTTGGACGATTGATTTCAACTTTCAGGTATCAGCTATACGCCATACGGTTGATTTCAAATTTCGAAGTGTCAATTGCATGGCTGATTGTTGCTCTGTTTATCATCATCATTCCTGGCTCTGAACTCAGGATCTGTTCATCAACAGATGGTTGAAAAGAATCATAACTTCATAAAGTTCATATTCCTCAATGAAACAGTGGAAAAATGTACAGTTGATGCCGAAATATCAGTTGTATGGCTGATTGTTGCACGGTTTGCCGATATCGGGATATTCCTGAATTTTGAACTTGTTACCGGTTTATCAACAGATTTCATATCCTGAATGAAACAGTGTGAAGACGGAAATTCTGCGGCAATCTCAAGTATGGTTGATTTTCAAGTAGTATCAGTTGCTGCTGCTCTGACGGCAGATCTGCAGAACAGAGAATGTGAGGCATTCAATGTACGTTCACCGTTGATTCAGATGTGTGAACGCCTGACCTGTACTGTAATACATAGGTACATTCAGTGTGCTTTGGCTGCGTGTGCTTTGGCTGCCGATCGGCTCTGTTCTGAAGATTGCTTGATCCTCTTAACAGCATCTTACTGTGTTCAGACTCGTCAGAGGTTTTCGAACCTGACCTGTACTGTTATATATAGGTCAAGAGACACTCTGAACATTCAGTTAACGGGCACGTACATCATCATACAGCAATTTTCCGCAAGTTCCCTTCTTTTCGCCCCTCCTTGCGCTGCCCCCCCCCCTCCGCCTCCACCCCACCTCCCGCACCCCCAACACCTGTCCTTTGCCTTTTTGTCCTTTCAGGAAAGGTCCCCTGTCCTTGTTTTGTTTGTGAAATTCCCATCTGTCTGTCTGCTGACTCAGCTCGTTCGTGTCATCATGTCTTTGCACCCAAGTCCATATAAGGAAGTCATCACATACACAGTTCTCACTCTTCTCTTCCTTCTCTTCCTTCTTCTTCTTCCTAACCGCTCTGCCATCTCTCCTATTGAAAGGTAATTGAATTCTACTCAAAAGTCCATTATAATAAAAATTATAAAATAGTAAACAAAATGCACTAAAAAAAGGATTTTTTCCTTTTTTGAATTTATTCAAAATCAGGAAAAAAATCAAGGGGATTTAGTGGTGTAATGTTAAGAGGTTCAGGGGTTTCCTGGGATTTGCAAAAAGCAGCACCCTACGATGTTTATGACAAAGTTGAAAGTAGACTTTTATGTACCTGTAGGTACACGAGGAGATTGTTATGATCGTTGAAGAAGTGCGACAAAGTCTTCGAATCATTGTCCAATGCTTGAATCAAATGCCTAGTGGCATGATCAAAGCGGATGATCGTAAACTTTGTCCTCCTTCATGCTCTCAAATGAAACAATCCATAGAATCCCTAATGAACTCGGCCACTTTATAGAAACAACTATCTGTGAATATAACAAGGCTCGAAGAGCAGACGCTTTGCGTCTGAATCCCACCCAAAGTTGGTAGCCCCTGACATAATTCAACCTGTAAGGACTTGAACTCCTGACCTGTGGAGCGGCAGTTCAAGGTGTGCACCATTCAGCCACTGTCCATGCCTAAGGCATCACAACTTGTCCAGCCAGCCAGGAATCGCAGGATATTTGGGCAGCTGGTTAGGCCAGTAAGTGCCAGCTAGCCAGTTATGTATGTGCTTTCCCTTGTGAAGATCATGGCGCATGTAAATCCCTCGTGTGTATTCAATTGAGCCAGGAGAAAGGGAAAAAAAAAATAAAAAAAATTGGAAACCTTTGTGGTTGCCGTGTGGTTCAGAGCCTTCCTGACAGCGCATATGTATTCTGAATTTCTGACAAATGAGGGGACTGGACAAATGTAGGGGCAAGTCGAAAAGCGGCGAAGATCACTCTGGAGAATAAAATGGAAACCTTTTTGGTTTGGGACATTTCTCTGCATGATGGCAAAGATCGGGAGGAAGGAGAATATGGAGAATAAAACCGAGTATACCGAGTCCACTTCAGATAAGATTTGAACAATGCATCTAAGGGCATATACTGACACGAATGCTTTCCTGAATGTATCTGACAGATTCTGACTGCAATTACGGCCCATGCTGTATGCAAGTCGCCCATCTGCCTTCTGTTCTGTGTGAATGACATATCTGGCCACAATCACGTCCACAGTTCAGTAGTCCGGCTGTGAGTATACCCTAAGAGTGGATTCTAATGATCGATTGCCCCATCTGAATATTCATGCAGGATTCACATCTCAAGGAAAACAGTGCTTAAGAAAATGAATGTACCCTTCATTCACCAACAATTTTTGTGGTTCCTTTTTATTTTATTTTTAGTTTGGACCATTTCTCAATTTATGCGTGTCATTCTTGTGCAGGGGCCATGCTAATCTTCTCTGTATTGTTCCAATTTTAACGGATGTCCCGAAGGACAATTTTTGTGGTTCCTTAATTTCCTTTTCTTAACAAAAAAGGGGGCAATGGCCCTTAGATATCATCATCTAGCCCCTTCCTGTCCCAGCCAATTCAGAGTTATTTTACTTGACTGATTCCGTCTGCCCTCGAACTGAGGTCTGTCTATCAGCAGTCTACGGGTGTAGCATTAAGCCACAGGGGTGGGCCGGTTTGGTCCCCAAATTCCTAACTAAATGTTGCATTCTCTTTTTCATCTGTCTGGCAGGGCATTGCAAAGATGGAGCACAAGGAGAGATGAAGCAGACAGGTTGCATCAACGCTGTCAGATCGTTTGTGGACCACGTCGCCGCACGAGAAACTGAAAACTTCCGTGGCATAGTGAGGGATAATCAGAACGCTGTCACACTGACCACAATGCATCAGGCAAGTTTTTCGCTAAGTTCGAAGCGTCTTGACCATGGCATCGGAAAGTTCGGATGTGTTGCTTGTGGGAATTATATTGTATGAAAGAAGTTCAAATAACAACTATATCTTCTACAAGTGGACACTGCAATTCAGCGGCCTGGTCATACATATTGTTGCCGTGCAGTGAAATGCATCTGATCGTCTGTACGCTACTATGCGATGACCGGCAATTCGGCAACACATAGGCAGTCGTATGTAGCCGAAGTGTTTGCACCGGAGTCTTGTGGGTAGAGTATGAAGTAACAATGGTGAGTGGACATTGCAATTCAGGGGCCTGGTTATACATTCATGTTGCCTTGTATGATTGTCTGTATGCTGTGACCGCCAGGTTTGCCAACGCAGACAGTCATATGCAGTCTGTATGTTATGACTGCAATTCCCCCGCAGGTACTGAGGGGGAGTCAGGGTACCCGATTGCCAGTATAACTCGGCAATGTGTGCTGTCGCATCGTGTGTGTATGAGAGGATGTATGTGCAAAGTGGAGAGCTACTTCCAAATTAGGCGTCTGTAACCACCATCAGCTTACAAGACAAATGAAAATACCGATAAGATTGATGCACCTGATTGCGAAGAAACCAATCAAGTAGACTACGGAGCAAGTGTGAAGTGCCTGCTTGCATTAAGGGGAACACAAGAAAGATTGAAAGATGGCACGGGGATAAAAAAGGGTTATTGAAAACAGTCTCATTGGGATCCCGGCATCATGAAGCTAGTAGACCCTCGACAATCTGCAGAATCACCTATTGACCTTTGGAGTCATAATCCTCTTTGATACTTGAAGCGAGGTTGGCAGTGCAAACAGCAATGTGAGAAAGAAGGCAGCAGCAAGGGAAACAGGCGGCGAGGTGGGCATGAGGCAGGGGCGGGTAACAAGGTAGGCAGCAGGGCCACACAAAGGCAAGTGGACCGGAGGGCAGGCAGCAGGCCATGTAACTAGGCGACAAGGTAGGCAAGCAGGCACCATAGGCCGAGCAGGTGAGCAGGCATGCAGCAAAAGAACGAAGGCATGCAAGCAGACAAAAACGCGGGCAGCAAGGCAGCAAGGCAACACAAGACAACTGGGCGGGTGGGCGGGTAACCAGTCAGCAGTGCGATACCGACATAGCCACCATTATGTGCACCAAAGATAAAAGTGGGCTATCACCTACTCACCCCAAATGGAATGTGTATGTGCCAAATTCCACACCTTTTTTCTTCTGCATTGCTCATTTACCGCCTAGTAGTGTGAGTGCTTGCCTCCCATGTGTCGTTCCATTGTTGTGGCTTAAAGGTTCTGCTCACCTCTCGTGTCATGTCCTGAAGATGCTTACAAGTTCCCATGTTGTGTTGTTTCATATTTTATTTCCCTTTGTTATTATGGCCCACCATCCTATGTTGCAGTCCAAGGGCTTGGAATGGGACAATGTCTTTGTTGTGAAAGTCAATGATGGCGACGTGCCCCTACGAAGACAGGATTTTGGAGCACCACCTGAATCAGGAGGATCACTTGAGGTGAGCAACTGCAGTTTTGTATTGTATAAGTGGTTTTTTGAGCGTTTTTCAATTAAAAAAAAAAAGGGCGACTCCACGACGGCCTTGAGGTATCGTCATTGAGCTGACCAGCCCCAGGTAATTCAGAAATATTTGTTACATTCATCTGGTTGTATTGTTCTGGATTCGAACTTGGATCTGTATTTAAACATTTCAGGGGTGTACCAGCTGAGCTAGATCTCCTTGGTGTTTTTCAACTTTTTAATTTTGTTTTAAACAGGCCCTTATGGTCCTCACTCCATATCCATTCTGGCGAGCTTCAGTCCGGTTCCTATTCCCCTGGCAAGTCAAAGATTTAATACATCATGGACTCAACTTTTTTTTTTTTTTTTACACAACTTTTTTAGGTTTGTCCTGATTGTAAAAAGTTCTGGAGAAAAAATGTTGTGCAGCATTGCAATGCACACCTTTTGGCTCGGGGTTCTTGAATTTTATCACTAAAGCTGTGAAAAACGAATGCAGTAACCCATGTTCTGCAGCAGTCTGGGCCCTTGAAACAGAGCCCAGACGACGAAGGCCAAACTCGGCCTGCGCCAGGCAGTGTGACCACACACTGCCCTTGGGAAGTCAAAAGTCTAAGTCAACTGTCAGGTCAAAGGTACCCGTCCAGGCCCTTGGTCGGATACACTCACTTGTTGTGCGCAGGTACCCAGACAGCATCAAGGCCAGAAGGAATTCGGTTTCAGGCCAATTTGGGCCGTCATTTTGCATTGAGATCTCGACGGCTGAGGGATGCAGCATCCGGGGTCCAGACCCCGCGTCAACGCTACATAAGCGCTGACTTCCTGACTTGGACATTCATTCGGTCTTGCATCAATGCTGACTTCACACGTTGACGACGACGCTGGCTCGACGCTGCGACACTGATTGGACGCTGGCTTTGTGCTGGCACTTGGGTGATTACGGCGACGCGATGCTGGCTCGACATGGTGGTTGGCTTGCTATTGTCTTCTGGGCATGCTGACATGGCAGCTGCCACATGTCGCTGCTGACGTGGCCACTGCCACATGTACTATTGCTGACGTGGCTGCGCTACGTGACTGGCACTGCTGTTCTGATTCATCATCACTCAAGAGGAGATCATGATTGTGGAGTGATCGTGGACACGCACCTGGTTATCTTGAGGTCAACATTGCTCCAGTACGCTGATGAGGGACTGATCGACGTGTCGCGTGGCACATTGTAATAGAACTTTGGATGTGCGTTCAGACTATTGATTATTCGAGGTGGTGATCGAGGAGGAAGCTCGGAAGAGAAGTGGGCATTTGTCTTATTCTTCTTCTAAGTCTAATCTCCCTCCTCTGTCCTTTGTCTGTGTATGATTCTCCCATCTCATTCTATCTGGACACGATTATGATTATTGATAATCATCAGCAGGTTGATATTCATCTGGGCTTGCATTGTCGACAAGTGTCTTCACGATCTGGGTTCATTGCAATTTGGTATCGGGGCATACTCCTGACAACGACGACAGCACGCACAAGCGCCAGGTGGCGCCAGGTAAGTAACACGCGCGTGTCGGATGTGATGACAACAAGATCTGACATGGACAACGACGAAGAAGGCCGGTGTTGCTGATGTGGCACGGACTTCGCTGGCGAGAAGACCAGATCCCGACACGATTGCTGATGTGGCAGTCGGGATCGCGATCAAGAGTGACCGCGCGCCAGCCAGGATCGTGATAGTGAGGCGGCATCACGATCCCACGCTGACGTGGCATATCATGTGCCACGTCTAGGGACTTGGTTGCTGGAGATTGCTGACGTGGCAAACGAAGTCCGGTACAAATGCTGATGTTGGCTTTGGACATCAAGGCTGGTAGCTTACGTGGCAGGCAGGTGTCGCACACGATTATCTTCTAACGTGGCGAGCCAGCTGACATAACATTGGCTCGATTGGCTGACGTGGGATTGACTTGAATGGCTGGAGCAGCAACGGTCTCACACCAAGACGCGAGGAAGTGGCAAGTGGGAAGGACCAGAGCACACATTTGCTAACGTGGTATTCCCCCCCCTTGATTGATTAGACACTGACGTGCTGATGTGGCAAATCTGCTATGTTGGCACGCTAGGGATGACATGTGGCAGGCAGGTGGCTGCCAAGTAAGAGTTGCACCTCGAAGACGAAGGTGGTACGGCTGATTGAACGGCTGACTGGACAGCTGTAGTGCCAGTTGTCGAGAGGGGTGCGGTATCGCATTGACACCAGGAACGACGCAAAGAAGAAAAGAAGAAGATTGCTGACAAATTGTTTGCTCATTGATGCTGGCATACTTACTCTGTCGTTTGCTGTGTTGTGGTGTTGTGCGTACGTACTTGTGTGTTGTATCTGATCACACAGGCCTGAGGTGGTACCTGTACACTCTTGATTAGAACATCATCACACAGACAGACAAGGAACAATAGTAATTAGAATTAGAAATAATTGTATTTATTTTCTTCTGTTGTTTAAAATTCTTGCTGTTGTAGAATAGTGCGGCCGTGGAATTTGTTATTGTTATTTAATTATTTATTGTGCGGCAGACGCACATCACGATGTCTCTCTTCTGGAATTGTTTGAAATTGTCAGTGCTCACTCGATTTATTCCCTTTCTCTTCTATCCAGTCTCACTCATCTTCGACATTGATGAGGAGACCCCTGAACCCCGAACCAGGCAGCAAGTGGACGAGCGAAAGAAGGCTTTGATTGTCCGCTTGGGCCAACTGATTTATGATCTCCATGACGCAGGTGTCGAAGCCGAGGCACATGTGCGGGCCAAGTTCTATCCAGTCTCACTCATCTTCGGCATTGATGAGGAGACCCCTGAACCCCGAACCAGGCAGCAAGTGGACGAGCGAAAGAAGGCTTTGATTGTCCGCTTGGGCCAACTGATTTCTGATCTCCATGACGCAGGTGTCGAAGCCGAGGCACATGTGCGGGCCAAGTTCGATTTGAAGGCAGCACAAGCTGCTATCGAAAAGGCTGAAACAGGCATCGACGTCATGCGGGTTCAGGATGTATTAATCAAGTGTCATCACACACTTGATAAGTATATCATTGAGCAACTTGGAAAGATTGCAGACTGGGAAGAGGAGAAAGAAGTAACTGTGTCTGAAGAAACTGTGGATGAAAATATCAGACAACTAGAAGAAGCACTTGAGAGGGAGAAGAAAAAGAAAAAAGAATTGAGAAAGAAAAAGAGTGAACAACAAGAGCAGAAAATCCAAGAAACCAGACAAACTATTATCAAGACCGAAGGGGAAGATCAGGAAATTTCAGTGGCTCAACTTGTGACCTACCTAACTCACCTTGAGATGAAAATTGATTTGTATGGTGAACAGATGCAGGCACAGATTGATGATGTGGCCGCGGGACTACGGACAATCACAAATCTGGTCAAAGGAAAGCACCAGGTGGTTGAGGAAGTTAAAACAGAAAAAAAAGAAAAACCAAAGAAATTAATGGGAGATGCCATCAAGTCTCTTAATGAAGAGACTCGAGAACCGAAAGAAAAGAAAAGGGAGCCTTCGAGTCCGCCGAAGTCTCCAGAAGGAAAAAAAGGACACCGTCGCACAGCCTGAGAAAGCTAAGAAGAAAGAAAGAGTCAAGATGAAATTGCCTTTCACATTCAGCAATAGCAAAGGTGAAAATATGTTGTTGTGGATTGCCGAGATACAAACATATTGTGGTACGGCCCCTGTTGAACCCGAGTCCCAAGTTCCTTTCTCTACTTCTTGTCTTGGGGGGAAGCAAAGGAATGGGTTTTGGCCGAAGCCAACGCAGCGGCATTTGACGATATTGGGGAGCGAGGTGCAACTTTGAACCTGAAGCAGTTCCTGGTAAGATTAAGGAACGCTTCTTGGACAAGACGACGGCCGACAAGGCCTTTGACCAGCTCACTACCATTGGTCAGAAACATTGGACCTCGGTAGAAGCTTTGTCTCAGGAAGTCGATCGGTTGTTGCAGGTTCCCAGATTGAACCTGCAGGACAACCAAGTCTTATGTATCTATTCCCGCGCTCTGCCTGAGCCCATTCGAGGACAACTCGTGGCAGAGTCAAAATCCGGTAAGTATAATTACAGGCAGTTTCGCGATCTTGCTCTCCAAAGGGAGCAAATGACCTCTCAGGTAAAGAACTCGTATGCATCTGTTGTGAAGTTTGGTGGTGGTGTAGGATCGGGCAAGCGGATACTTTGGCGCCAAAAGCGCCAGGACCACACCCTCGTCGTCTTTGATGACGATACTGTGGAGAAGTGGTCATTGGAGGCCGAGGGTGTGGCGAGCAGCATTGAGTCTGGGAAGGGGGAAGTCACTACTACCGTGGTCAACAAGGGAGGACCACGACCGCCGGTAAAGAAGAAGAGATCGCGCTCATTCCCAGAGTATCCCGGAATTGCGGTCGGGAGGCCGTGGGAAAAGATGGGTCTGTCACGAGAAACGTGGCAGGAGCGGATGGACAACACGCAGTGCATGAAGTGTGGCACTGCAGGGCATGTGATTGCTTGGTGCCCGTTAATATGAAACTCAAAAGCGAGCGGCCAGTAGGAGTAACATCTGCCCCTACTGAGTCTAAGGGTTTGGATGTAGATGAAGGTAAGGCGCCTACTAACCCTTTCAACCCTTTGACTCGCATGGCAGAGGATGGTTCTTTTTCGGCCCATCGTCTGGAACACCCTGAACGTGTCTTATGCACTTTCTCTCTAGACGACTCTCTTGACGAACTCGATAACGAGTTGTTGGCACTACGGAGCTCGTGGCTAAGAAATCTAAGTCTAAGGGTGACATTTTCATCGCGGATTTAAAGATTGCACATACACGCGTAGGTGCATTATTGGACTCAGGATCGACGCGATCCTACATATCCGAGAAAGCAATCCACAAGTTGCATCTCAGAATGAAAGTGAAAGATCTGTCTCGACCTATCACGTTTATTTTGGATGACAGAAGCACGATCACTATCTCGTAGTGTGTTGATCGTGTT